CCACTGGGGTGAGGGGAAGATCGGAGGGCATCGGGACATTGCGGGCCCCCGCGCCTCCCATCAGCATGCACCGGGCGCGCGGCGCGTCTGTGCCAAGCAGCCGCTGCATTCGGAGCCGAGGACCAGTGGCCCGCAATGTCCCGATGCCCTCCGATCTTCCCCTCACCCCAGTGGCCCGCACTGTGGCCCCGCGCGCACCCTGGCCCGCTGGGTCCCGAGCCCGCTCGACGGCCAGGCTCTCTCTGAGCGTCCGGGCCCGCTGCGCCCGCCTGACCGCTCCGGGATGCACGTGAACTTGGAGAAAGTCACGGGGCACGCCGGGCCGGTCCTCCGCGGCAGGGCGTGGGCACATGCGGGTCGGCACGCTTTCGTTTGCGTCCCGGACAAAGGTCTCCAGTGGCGCCAGTCGTGGACGCGTGATTCATTCCTTCTGGCCACTCTTTTGAGTGGTGGGTCGTTGGATGCAGGACTGCAGAAGCCCTGAGAGCAGGAGCTGTGGGTATGGAGCACGGGGCCTCGCTGTGCGCTCGTCGGCGGCCGTTCCACCCTGCGAAGAGTTGCGGGAGCTGATCCGCGCTGCCCTCCGCTGTTCCTGAGCGCCCAGGAGCCCGGCGCAAGTCACCCCAGACTCCAGTCAGCGGCCACGGGCACGCCAGCGCAGCGCTAGCCGCGGCCAAGAGGCGTTCTGGCAGGGCGGTGGACCTGTCTGCCGCGGGCATGATCAAGGTTGGAGAGGTAAGCGCTTTTTTCACTTTAGCTTCTTGACATTTAAATATTTAATGGACACATTTCTAAGAGGGGTCCTTCTTCAAGGACTGCCTTTCACAGCCAGGGATGTAGGTTGCTTTTGAACCCGAAGCCAGCCAGCTTGCAACGAACGACAAGCTGTCCTCTATCCAGAACTTGGAATTTGTGAAACACAGCTTCTGATCTCAGGTGTGGGGGCTGCTAGCCACCCAGAAATTTTATCACGCATATAAAATACTATAACAGACATCTTAAACAATAGAAAAGAGAAAATATCGGGGAGGGGGGTTAGAAATGTTACTTGGAAGCTAAAGTCCTTTCTTGAAAACTTGAGCTGTTTTATTACTAAACCCTTACTATTTTAACAGTGTTATTTAACACTGGATGGACGTTTGCAGAGAGCTGGTTTAAGTGTGGCAGCCAAGATCTGGGGTGCAGTGGAAGGTCCTAGCGTGAAAGTTCTTGCTCGTGGGGCAGTTAAATGAGCAAAGCAAAACAAAAAAAACTTCAATTCATAGCCTCTTAAAATAAGTGCAGTTATAGATGGCTTGCACAGCCCAGCTAGCAGGCCTGAGGAGGTTTGTGGAGACCAAAAAAGGGGTGAAAGAATTTGTCTTCGCCATAATTACAGGGTTTTTAGGTAGAACTGAAATTAATTTCTTCGAAGTTGGATTTCAAAATCTTAGGTGGTCTCTCCAGGCCCTCAATAACTTCATTTTATTTGAAACACATAGATTCCGGGTATCTGGGAAATAAAACTGTGTCTCTGTGTGTACCTAGCCTGGGTTAAAACGATAAGCCACTTCGTGGGGATTAAGCCTGCTTTCATATAGTCATGCGGCAGGTGTGAACATACGGATTCTCCACATTTTCGGTGTGGTTTGGATAGCCTTGCTGGGGCCATTCACCTCAAATCACACACAGTGAGGGACACCTATTTCCATAACACCCCAGAGAACCATGAACTGGCGCTTGAGGCCCTGTTTCCGAGAATGTGGATGAGGCTGGAGGAGTCCAGGCCTGCTTTATGCCTACCTTCCTGACCGCGTGCTCTGGTTGATTCAGGGTAAGAGCCTCAAAGAGTAGGAAGTCTCTTTTTGCAGAGTCTGAACCAAAGACTAACCTTGACCACCTTTTACTTCTTTCTTTCTTTTTTAACTAGTTTTCTTTACGCTGCTGACCACCCCTGATTTGAGCTTTTGTTTATTACTTAATCCGAGGCATTTAGCAAACAAAAAACCCTGGGTAAGACATTTGGGAGCCATCTCAGCTGTAGTAGTGCCTCTGTGGAAGGTATGGCACCCAGAACTGCTTGGCTTAATGCTGGACATGATGGGATTCTTAACAGAAGCTCGCTCTCCATGCCGGAAAAATGCTGGCAGTGTTTTCCCTTGTCCACCGAAGACCCACGGCACAGGATTGGCAGGGTGGAGAGTAGGTGTTAGTTAGCTGAGGTTCTTCATAATGCTTGGGACTATAGCAGATGCCCAAACAAGTGGACATCTCCCCAGGCCGTCGTATGGAAACCAAGGCGAGCAGGAAAGACCAGAGCCTTAGAGGAGGTGGTTTGAACCAGGACCTTGAACCAAAGGCACCATTTTGATGAGTATCGGGGTCCTATGTATTGCCAGACCATACCCTAGTACCTGGGAAATAGCAGGATTAAGCTTGTTTGTTTCCAGGGCATCTTCCCATTCTCAAATAGCTCATTTTGGTACCGTTTTTTTTTGGGGGGGTACACATACACAAAAGAGGAAACATGCACTTGTATGTTTTTCTCCCTATTGGATTTAATAAAGGAACAGGTAAGTAGGCCCTGGTGGAATGGACGGCTGTGTGGACTTCCCGGGGCAGGAGGCTCTATTTCTGCTATTAAATTAGGGCTGAGCCCAGGGTGGCCACAGTAGAGCCTCACCATTCCTCACACTGTCCTGGGTAAGTGATCTCTAGGGCAGATGCAGGCTGGGTTTAGGCACCAGGCATGTGTGGCAGCAAGGCCCACCATGCCTTCTACCATGGCAGTGACCTCTGTAAACTAAACCTGGCTTTCTGCCTCTATCTACTCTCCAGCAGGATACATAGCCCCAGCCCATCATAGACAAGGTCCTACTGGAAGGCAGGAGGAGAGAGGTGTGGAGGACTTTGCCCATGCAGATGGGCACCCTGCTGGGCGGGTACTCCTTTCTGTCCAGGAGAACCTCTTACAGGCTTTGAAAGAGGAACATTGCTCAGGGAAGTGCCAGGCCTTGTGGGCCAGGCAAGAAACATCTTACAACTTCCATGCCTCGTTTTTATTGCTTCTGTTGGATTTTCAGGGTTATATTTACATGCGTAGAGTGAAGGGCCAATACTGATACAGAACTCAGAAGGCTGAGTGCCCAAGCTCACGTTGGGGCGTGGAGTTGGAGCAGTCCAGGTTCTAATTTGTCCTTTTCTCTGGCTCACCATGTGACCTAGGCAAGAACTGTTGCCTTCCCAAGCCTGTACCCTGACCGTTCCGAAGAGGAATAGAGATGCCAATATCAAAGGTTGCAGACAACATTGCTTTCATAAGGTGCTATTGCTGGCTTGTTGTCTGAGAGCCTCTAATGGCTGTGCTATAGTTAGAATTATAAATGAAGTCGCTATAATTACTTACATATTTATCATTTAATATCTTGTGCATTTTATTATATATTTTATATTATGTTATATTCTAGGTAACAGATCCCACTTCTGGTTTATTCAGAAAGGACACCAAGAAGTTGACTCCCCAGCGCCTTTGGGTTGGCTGGTGGGAAACTTGCAAAGCCAGAACTTTCCACGTCCCAGGGGATTTTGTGCAAATGTGACTACTGCATGCATTGTGAATCTTGCATTAGGTACAGCAGAGGAGACAGAGGCTTCCTTAGGGATTCAGAATATGTTACCCCTTTACAGGGCAGTATGAGGTTTTCCTGGAAAATGACTTCAGGGTTCTGGTATGGGTCTGAGCTTTGTTGCCTATGGTGATCCAGCATCCTTGCTGGAGATACGGATAGGGGTTTAATAGGACAGTTTTGCCACTCTGACACATGAAGGGTGCCAAATTGCCTGTCTTGGGGAAATTTTCTCCTGGTTGTTTGTTCAGAAAAAAAAACAGCAAGATTACATTTTATTCCTCAAAGCACCTTGTTGGAGCAAAAAGAAACCTTAAGGGCACTAGCCACACTTTCTGATGTTACAGGGATGTTGCACGAGACATAGCAACAATTGCCTTCAAGCAGAGGCAATGGATCTTTTATATGGGGTATTTACTTTGAGGACTGACCAGTGTTCCGTTGGCTGGGACGATGATCAGAGTTCAGGCGTTTGAGTAGTGTGGGCCCTGGCCTCACAGTCAAGGGCAGAGGTTTACAGGGGAAGAATTAAAGTCCGCTGAGCTGTGCTTCTGGGGAAATTTTAACGGGTTTGCTCATCTCTCTTTGTGGAGCGCAGTTTAAACGTTCACTATTTTATCTTTCTCCTTCTGTGCTTCATTTTCAAAGGCCACAGGGGGTATGTCTGCAGTCCTTGGAAAGGTGGCCAGGTTTTGGATTATGGGCCTGCTGAGGTTTCCCTTAGACCAAGTTTGGCCTGCCTAGCTGGGTTTCAGAATGCAAGTGAATAAAATGGACTCAAAGAGGCAGAATCCCTTCCCAGGGGCTCCACCAGACAATGTGGGCCCATATTTGTGGTTTTCCAATGTCATCTTCTCCTCCTCCTCCTCCTCACATCCTGTTCTCAGATGAACATGGGAGTGGCCTGTAGGTTGTGGGAGTCTAACTGGAGCGGAGAAGAGCACACTAGCCCTCTATATCCCTGACTACCAAAAGTATTTTGTGCCTCGTGATTAACAAACCCAGTATGTGGAGCCATGAAGACTGCCTTCTAAATTAGTTGAAAACACTGGATTTATTTCCGAGGCCTCTATCCCAAGGAGAGTATTCCCGGCCTACCCTCCAAGGGCTGATCTGGCTCACACTATGCCTGGTGGTGGGCCACCTTAAATGTGAGGTCAGTGGCTGAGGCTCACCTTCAGGATTCAGGGTGGCCTTGCTGTGCCAGGTTTTGGATAGAGAGTGCTGGAGAAGCCAGCATTGTGTGATTCTGGGAATTCCAAGGGAGACCCTTAGTCAGCGAATACCTGTTACTTCAAGTGACCCTTTGTCAAGACTCTTCTGCCCAGGGCCAGTGGAGGAAGACAGACAAGGGACAGACAGGTCCTGGCAGGGAGCGCCTACTTATTACTCAACAGAATTTTTTTTTTTGCAAATGATAATATTTGTCTTCTGAGTAAGGTTTTATTTTAAAAATCCCTTTTGTTGACCTTGCTTATTTTGAATCCTGAAAGTTCGTAGCATCCCACTTTCTATATTAACCTGTGCCTCCAAAATGCCAAGCCAAGAAACTTTTAGGGATGTTTAGACATCTAAGGCTGTGAGTATAGGCGTGAAAAAGCTGAAATCATGGGAAAGAAAGAAGTCTTGTGTCCTGGGCAGAAAAAAAAAATGGGTTATATTCACTTGCTGGAGGAAGCAGAGACAAAATGTGGTGTAGTCTTGCCATCAGACTTTGTCATCTTCCAGTTGGAGTCTGGAATCAGGAGTCTCCTCCTTAGGATGCAGATGCGTGTGCATAGGTGTGTGTGTCCAGGCAGTGGTGGGGAGGCTTTGTGAGCAGTAGGCCTCCCTTCAGGCTTGGGTGGGGTTGAGGGTTAGGACCTGTCGTGGTTGCGAAATGTGCACCCGAGGCAGACAGCCTCATGGTAAATTTTTTTAAGGCTGGGTACGTTTTTCCCTTCAGATTAAAGAGGAATGCTGCTCAGGTGCTCTGGGTTTTTCGGCGAACTGCCCTTCTTTACTATTGAAATTTCTGGTCAGAGTAACACTCAGCAGAAATATCTTAAATTTGGAATCTCCCTTGATATTTTTGAGAAAGGTATATACATCCAATTTAGGCTTTTATAATTACATCTTAAATTATTAAAA